AATCAACTTACCTGTTCAAATCTAAAATGTTCTGTCCCCCGTTTGAAACAATTTACAATGAAACATTAAAAGGTCTATTAAGAGCTGCAGAAATAGCTTTTACCTTGAGACAGTACCCGGTTCAACGTGAGGCCCTTAAAAAGGAACATAAGTGTGTCAAAATGTTCGGTTCCGTCCAGCAATTCGAAGAGCAGCGCACCCAGTTGCCAAACGGTGGCCGGCCCAGCCTTATACGGCCGCTTGAAGACGTATTCTGGAGGGGCGTAGCGTAAGGTTCCTGGAAGACAAGTAAACACAACAAATATTTTGGGCTATATCCTCCTCAAGATTTTCCAGGGTGATTATTCTGTGGTGTGGTGTATGAGGCATTTTTTACACCCGCCTGAATAAATTGTCCTGACAAGCAAGCTAAGTTTGAGCATTTTTACTCCCTTGCAATCAAATAAAGGCATGATTATCGGATTAACATTTATGTCCGGTTATGTGTCGAATTTTCCTCCCTGATCTCTTCAGAAAATGATCAAGGTAGACACTCGTAAATGGTAAACTGGTTTAATATTGGCGTCCCCGCACTACGGACTCGTTCTGTAAATATGTAAGTGTCCCGTGTTTTTACCGGCATATTCTCGATATGGTTCTTCATTGACAAAGCAGCTGCAGCCGAAGTCTATGAGGCGCACTCGGGGGAGACTGAAGGTGGCCTCCAACAGGATGTTCTTCTGCTTCAGGTCCCGATGGAAGACGTTGACGGCGTGCATTTTGATGGCTGCGTCCACCAGCTGCTTCATGATGTTCTGACAAACACAAAAACAAAAAGAGACTTTTTTTGTGACCATGTTCCCCAGTAGCCTTGTGGATGAAAGAGTGTGGCGGGTCAATTTTAGCCACGCATCCCAAAAAAAAAGTGTCCAAACTGAAGGAGGTACCAGTTTGGCCTATTTTGAGATTCAAATGAAACCATTTGAATAGATTACACACCAGCTGTTTGATACGCAGCTATATGAACTACTATCTTATAGCAAGAATCCCATTTTGATAAAATCTTTAAATAAACAAAAAAAATGTCTTCAAATTGAAGAAACAAGGATTTCACATGAGACATTGATGCCACTCTGGCTGCTTGAAAAGCGGCTATTTAAACCACTACACTATCGAGTGTTGTAGTTTGAATTAGTGACAGCTGCACAAAAGTCAGATCGAGGGAAGGCACCGCTTAAGATACAGTGAGGGTCCCAGTTTTATTAAGGTGTTAACCCCCAAAATATACAAATGTGTTTAAACTGAAGCAGTCGGGATGTCAACTATGGGAATTTATTTATACCACACCAGCGGCACAGGGGTCGCCTATATGAACCACTACAATATTAAATAAAGGTCAGTTTTATCACTCCATTCAAAATAAGTGGGTACAAAATAAAGAAATTAAGAGTTAAAATGTGAACTGCTCCAACACCAGCTTTACAAATGTAAAGTTACCTGAACCACTACACTATCAAGAATTGAGTTTCTTTACCTTCGCTTCATATTCCTCTAACGGACCGAGCTTGTATTTGGTTCTGAATGTGAAGAGGTCCACGGAAGGTACCGGCCTCTCCATGACCAGAACCAACTCTTTCTCCAGGTCATACGTGTCCAACAACAGGACGACTGCGGAGGAGCCGTCAGCGTTCTTTAACGAGGACGCTTGCAGCATGAGCCACGCTTCTAAGGGAACCTTCTGGACTTTTCCGTTGATATACTACGGTGTAAGAAAACATTATCCACTGTCAGGGTTTCATGAAATAAAATGTTGCCTTTTACTTTAGACACACCCACCAAAAAAACGCTCTCCACTTTTTCTATGGGGATGTATTTGATGGCCACCTACAAGACAGTCATATAGTTAGTACGGAAAATGACGATTTGGGTTTGCATGAGACGGGATGTATAACGCTTACTGGGAAATAGTCACTTTTCCGGTAGCCGGCGAACACCGATCCGAAGCCTCCTTCGCCGAGCTTCTCCAACTGCTGATACTTCTGCACAAATAACGCTGCCAACACAAAAATCACGTTTGGCTTTGCTTACACTGGAGCAGACAATTTCATTTTTTTGAAGCATTCAGATGATTAGGCGAATGGCTATCCAACATCTATCATTAACTCATTCAGTACCAGCCAATTCTGGACCAAGTGTGAAAAGACGTTTAAAAACGTCTTTGGGAGTGAATGAGTTAAATTTGGGGACCTCATACAGTTGCTCAGCCTTTTGGGTCTTTTTCTTTAAGCTTCTTGAATGTGCTGCGATCCAAACCCGTGATTGCAAAATATGTTATCCATTTTCAACTATTGTCAAATGTCACTCGGTGATCTCCTCAAGAGGTTGTAATTGGCACTAACTCTTCACAAGTGGCAATTAGTTTAATCATTAAGTGCTCCTCAGTCACTGACTTTGCATAATAAACATAGTCAAGTCATATTACCGGTGGTAAAGTGACAAAAGTAACACACGCGTGACTGTAAAAATTGCTATATAAGGCTCACACGTTACTTTCTAACACTGATGGGAGCGCTGTTACTTTCTTCCGCATTACAATTACTGATTGTTTTTGTTAAAATGCAGATGGGGAGGACTATGAAAAAAATAACTAAACCACATTCAGAATATTAAGGGGGGGGGGGGAAATGACACTTATAGATTTTTTTAAAAAAAATTGTTCAGCCCTACCGGGAGCGCTGTTACTTTCTTCCGCATTACAATTACTGATTGTTTTTGTTAAAATGCAGATGGGGAGGACTATGAAAAAAATAACTAAACCACATTCAGAATATTAAGGGGGGGGGGGGAAATGACACTTATAGATTTTTTTAAAAAAAATTGTTCAGCCCTACCGCAAAGCTTTGTGACCTGAACTTACTTCGGGTGGTGTCAGTCTGTTGCAAGGCGGGCGGACAGCAGGGACAGGCCGGGAGGGTGGCGGCTTTCTGGATGACGTTCTTGACAGGCTGCCTGGTTTGCTTTTGGGCTTCTGCTTTCGTGCTGGATTTCCTCTTGGTGGGCCGCTTGGGCAGCAGAGCTTTT